GTTTTGATGGAAGTAGGATTAGAGGTAGTTAGTCTAACAGTGTATATGTCTGTGTTTCCTAGGGTATTATATATTTAAAGAATTACCTGTCTATTTTAAAGTTTATATGCTATTTTAACATAGAAAATGTTTCTGCTATAATGTTCTATACAAAAGGACATTAAATTATGTATAGCATGAGTATAACCTTTAAAAATCTTTACCTAAGTATACAGAACAGGAAAAGGAAGTGCACTAATGTATCCACAGTGCGCATTTCCTCTTCTGGGTTGTACTTGGATAGAGAAACATTTTCTCCCTCCTCTCTCTTTAGTGTTTTGTTGCCTATAAATTTTCAGTCATGGCTCACAACCACTACACAGTAAGAAGGAAGTCACTGACTCTCTATTTGCCACTCATCCAACCAGATGAGCTGGGCTCTCACTCAACGTGGCCTCCGGTCCACCTGTCACAAGTTGCAAATCAGAGAAGCCTCAGGCAGTTTGTACTTTCCTGCCTCTCACACCACATGGTTATCACTCTGGAAGTGGACTGGCAATTTTGGGGTAAAACCAAAATCCAAGAGCAATCTCGTGGATGCCTAGAAATGCCCTGGTCAGCAAAGTTACCACACAGAGAGGGCCTGACCCAGAGCAGAGACCTTATTTATATTTGCAGTCAGCTTTGGCCCTACTCTGTTTGGTTCAGACAGGTTGGGATCACATAGTGTTCTGTTTGTGTTTGTTTTAAATTGAATTGCGTAATAATTTCCAACTGAAATAACATATAGAAAAGTCTAGTTTTCCATCTTTTTTAAAAGTCAGAGGCACATGACAAGTTAGGTGGAGCAGAGTCACGGCCACCCTATTGGAAGGATGTGGACCCAGCTCACCAGTCTTCACATATTTTTTCGGGGGAGAGGCAGTACTAGGGTTTGAACTCAGAGCCTCGTGCTTGCTAGGCAGGTACTTTAACATTTGAGCCACTCTATCAGCCCTTTTTTTGTGTTGGGTATGTCTGAGATAGGGTCTCTCAAACTATCTGCCCAGGCTGGCCTCAAACCACAATCCTCATGATCCATCTACCTTGTAGCTAGGATTACAAGCATGAGCCACCAGCGCCCAGCTCTCACCACTCTTAACTGTCTCCCGGACACCAAAGCTGACACTTTATGCCTGAACTGTTGTTTCTCAAACAGCAGAGGGAGGCAGACAGGGAAATATGTCCTTTGTTCATCTTCTTATCAAAAGAGGAAAATAGAAACATAGGGTAAGAGGGCTGTGAGTCAGTAGGGCACCGATAGCTCACGGCTGTAATCCTAGCTACTCAGGAGGCAAAGATCAGGAGGATCATGGTTCAAAGCCAGCCCAGACTAAAAAAAGTTCACGAGACCCTATCTCAAATAAACAAGCAAACAACAACAATAAAAATCACAAAAAAATAAGGCTGGTGGAGTGGCTCAAGGTGTAGGCCCTGAGTTCAAACCCCAGTAACACACACAGACACACACAGACAACACACAAATGTTACCTCCCCGGTTCCAATTAGTCTTTAAAATTTCTACTTCAGGCCTAAAGGGTTCCTAAGAAAACCACATCCTTCCTCATTTCCTGCTGAGATTCATAGAGAAAATACTGTCTGGTAACCCTCTGTCTGCCTCCCTAGTCCTTCCCTAATAGTTCACTCTGCCTGTCACCTATGGGCACCAAGTCCTTCCCCACGCAACTGTACCAGGAGGTGAGGAAGAGCAGTCCACACACAGGGATGGCCCAATGCCATGTAACTCAGATCCATTCCTGGGATCCCAATAGCTGTACCCATTTCTTAAGCAATATTATTTTTGAGACATGCTCCTAGCTTACCTTCCTCCCTAAAATCTGAAGCTGGTTTTGTGCGTAAAGATTTTATGCAAGGCCTAGGTGGCCCAGTGGCACCAAAGTTGCTGAAGCCTTCTGGGTTTCTACAAAATCTTGGGACAGAAGCAGAAACTTTGTCTGTGGACTCAGAGTCAGCCCTCCTTCTCAAGGGAGACTTCAGGCTGTGAAGCCTATGTCTCAGTTTCCCCTTTGTAAATTCCAGGAATCAAGGTGTTCCAAAGATCAAGTATGTATACAACAATTTTGGCACTGTGTCTGGCATATAGTAAGGGCTCAATGAATACAGGCTGTGCAAGCTGTATGACTGTTACCGATCTGACAGCCCAGGTCTCAGAAGCTTGTGGGGCATTGCTGAGGCTGGCCCTCCAGTCTTGGTAACTATTCTCCCTCCATGTGCTCAGGAAAAACATCTTTGTCCTTGTCTTAAGCTAAGCTTTGGGTCCACTCACTGAGGACTCAGAGTTTTGCCAGTCCTAGGCCTCTTACTGACAGCCTCTCTGTGTTCCCAGAGGACCTATCTCCTGGCACACTGGGATGGATAAACATGAATTCATTTTCTGTTGCAGCCATGAGGGGTTTATTTAAGAGAACAAGAGAACAGGTTTCTCATTGACAGCACAGATGAACCGGCCACATGTGCCCATGCAGGAGGGGGTCAGGGAGACCAACCCATCTTCAGATGTTTCTCAAGTGTCTCCACAGCTCAAAAGTCCCTATGTTCTCACTGCTCAAAGGTTTACTCAGGAGATAGGGCTCTTTAAGGGTCCAGACTTCCTGGATGGGCAAATTCAAAGAGCCTCAGTCCAGGTGGGTCACACCCCAGCCCCCCATGTCCCAGGCCAGGAAGGCCTGGATGATTCTCTCCACTACGCTGAGCAGGTTCATGGTCCTGACCTCTAGGTCTTCCTCCCACCCTGCTCCCAAGCCCTCTCTGAACCCAGCCAAATTGAGAACCCATCTACTCCCCCAACCCACCCAATTCTGTCTGGCTTTTGGCTGGATGCTACCCTAGGTAATGAAAGGATGGAGTCATTTGTTCACCACTGTGTGCCCAGCTGCTAATGGTGGCTGCTCAGTCATCCAACATTGCCCAAGAGCTTCATGCTCATTTTGGGGCCTTTTCTGGGTCTGTATATTTCCCTGGCTGCCTCCCACCTTTTTCCAGTCTCCAAATGTTCCTAACCAGTGTCAGCACTCCTATTCCTCAGATCCTGGCTTGCGAACATCCCAGCATCCTCTACAGGGTGGGTGGGGATGGAGGAAGGTGGTACAGGATGGCATCAAACCCTCCAAGAAATCTCACTTGTTATCTTATCTCCAAATGTCCCAAGCCTTCTGAAGGAGGGCATTTCTTTCTCTCTTTCTTCCCTTCCCTTTCTTTTGCAGTACTGGGGTTTGAATTCAGGGCCTCAAACCTGCTAGGCAGGTCTCTACACTTGAACAATACCTCCAGTCCAAGGAGAGACTTTTTCGATAAACATCTTCCTTTGTGTCCCCACTGGTAGCTCAGCCCCAACAACACAATACACACACACACCCCATCCCATTTTCCTCTCCTTCAAGAGACAAGGTGCAGGTGGTGAAGAAGGTGAAGTGGGGCTATTCTCGGGAGCTGGGGAGCCTCATCCCTGAGCTTCTTCAACCATCTGGACCCCAAGGAGTTTTAAGACTTATGAAGAGATGTTCTCCGCACCTGAGACTAAGGCGAGCTTTTCTGAAATAGATGGGACAGAGCAAGCAGTCAGCTTGGGGCCAGGACACCTAGGATCTAAGCCTGCTCACGAAGCCCTTCAGTCCTCTCCATCTACTTCTGCCTCTGGGATGGGACCAGTGAAGCATGTTTGAAACATTTCTCAGAGTTATAGCTCTTTGGTCAAACTAGTTGTACCAGCTACATGACTATGGCAAATGGATGAAGTGGGGTCCCCGGTGGTACCTTTGTTATCCTGGGTCTCCCCCATAATGATACTGACACTTCAGCACGCTTTTGAGGAGCTGGGCTTTGGGCCTTCTGCATGTCTGGGAGAGGCACCATATTCACACCACCCAGGCAGAGTGTCAGAGACCTGGGTGAGGATGCTCCCGAGTGAGCTTCTGGGGGCTCCGGTTGTGACACACAACTGAACCCCAACCTCTGTGGGCAGAGGGATCACACAGTGGCCATTCAGAGATCTGCTAGTACGAGGAGACTTACATATGAGGTGACAGAAAGGGACCAGGGCTCCAGCCCTTCCATTATACAGAAGGAAGGACTGAGGCCCTGGAAGGTGGTGGAAATTAGTAGAAGAGCTGAGAAGGAAACCCCAAGGCATTGAAGTATATATCTTGTAGGACACCCAGCTTGCCCTTCCTCCAGAGTGGCACTCTCTGCTTTGCACTGCATGTTCTTCCCTTCCTCCCTGGTCACAGCCACTCCTGATGAAAGTCATGGAAAATTCCTAGTGAGAAGGAAATGAGAGGTAGCTTGTGGAAGTAGTAGCTGCACTGCATACCAGGAAATGAAAGTCTAAAGAACACTGAGGGCTGGAGCAGATGGAGAGGAGACGTGTGGCCAAGTGTGTGTACTCTCCTGTTATACTTCCTGGCCGGTGAGGCTAGGACCATGGGCTCCAGAACAGGCCATATAGGGGTATGAGTCCCAATTCAGCCTAGGGAGAGCTTCATGGGGATGAAGGCTGTGCAGTCACATAGGCCCCACAGTCAGTTCAATGCTCTGCTGTGGCCATTATAAAACTTGCAATCATTTTTGGACAAGGGGGCAGTGCATTTTGTTTTGCACTGTCAATTATGCAGCTGGTCCTCCCTGTCCTGTCCCCAGGTGTGTGTTCTTGAGAAAGTACCTTAGCCTCTGGGAACTGCAGTTTTGTCATCTGTAAAGCAGAGGTCAAGACAGTACCTGCCTCACAGAATTGTCATGGAGATGGAGTCAGAGAACCCCTATAGAGCTCTGTGTGCTGGCACAGAGTGGTGTGTGACCAGTGGTAGTTACAACTACAGGTAAGAGTGCTAATGCTGACCATTACCTACTAATGTAGGTGCTGCTCACTCAATAACAAGGATGCTATCAGCGGCATCCAGGATCCAGCCACCCAGAGAAGAGTCACAAGGTCTCCCGCACCAGGTTCCCCTCCCCTGGCCACTTACCTTCCTGAAATGGCTGTGTCTGCATCTGTAGCCGGATCTTGATGAGGTCCACCGGCCCGCCCAGCCCGACAGAGACCACGCCAGCCACCATGCTGGCCAGGAGCAAGTCAGACAGGCTGCGGCCAGGGCTGGTCTCAGGTTCCTCGCAGTGGTGCTGGCTGAGGAACCTCTGTGTGTTACTAAAGACCCCAAACACCACCGAGTTGTAGACAGCGATGCTGGCCAAAGGGAAGGACATGCCTTTGAAGAAACCGAACACCTGCGGCAAGAGCCAGTGGGAGGAAGCATGAGGCTAGGGCTGTACCCCACTGGGACCCTCTGTCTGCATGGTGACGTGCAGGGCTCCCCTGATTCCCTAACCTGAGGGTGATGGGGTTCACACTGAGATAAATAAACTACTATGTCAGTGAAGAGCATGGAAAATCTGATGAGACCAATGATACCAAAGAGACCATGGGTGGGGACTGTTCCCCACTCCTAGGCGATCATTCCAGTCCTGAGGAGTTGCTCTGTACGACACTTTGGTTCCTGCACAGTGGTGCTCTAGCCTGGGACCTGTGTCTGCTGCATGAATGGCAATATCTGGAGCTAGCCAGGGTGACCCTGGGGAGCCCTAAGGAGCAGTGGGCTGGCCAAGCACCACATACCTTCCCATCTGCCACTCAAATGAAGCAGTCTCTGGTCACTTGCCATGGGCTAGACCCTGCAGAACAAGCAAGAAGCAGTCTCTACCCCACTGAGCTTATAGTCTGGGGACAGCATAAGGGGTAGGAAAGGACAATCTGACAGTACAATCCACTCATCTGTGATGGGGGCATTCTACAAGAAGCCCCCTGGGCCAGCCTATGGATGGGGGCCCCTGAGCATGAGTGTCCTGACAAAAGTGGCTGGAGAGGGTAGCCCCAGGAGGACACAAAAAGGGACTATGAACACACACAGGACACAGCAGGCTAGGGAGCGATGCTGCCCACTAGGGTCAGGTTCCTTTCTTTATTGCATTCTCAGTGAACACCACAGACACTCTGAGGAAAACTGGAAAGTTCCACAGGCCCTTGGAAGAGTCGGGACAGCACACATGTGCCAAAGATGAAAAAGGAAGCCACTGTACAAACTGGTCATTTACACAGCTGTGCACAAAACTGATAATTCTGAGCATGTTGCCACAGGCAGGACATCTCACACACGTGTGCATGCACTCCCATGTGCATATACACACACATACCTGCGCACACCCTGCTTCAGGCTCTTCTTCCATAACAAGGTCCTTCCAATAACTTGGGACTTTGCTTAGCCAGTAGCCACAGTGTCTCAGAAATACTTCCCAGAGTCCCCACTAAAGTCCGCAGTTGGGATGCTGGGTGGCAGACACTGTGAATGTTTGCCAAAAGGGAGAATCAATGGCCACTTTTCTGGGGAATGGGGAGTGGCACAACTTTACCCTGGCACACCAAGTACTGGGTTTGCAGTGCTCGCTTTGATTTCAAAGCAGCCGGTGGAGACAGGGTTAAGACAACACAGAGAGGCAAAAATGTACTTGATTTGTGAATCTCAAAGAACTTGCAGGAGGCTTCCCAAGCTGCAGAGCACTTGGATCAAGCTAGTGGAGACCACAGCCACAATGGGTCACATTTCCTGGGACTCATGGAAAAGCCACAGACTTACACTTGACCATTTCTTTAAATCAGGTTATTTCCTCCTAAATTCTAAAATCTATCTTAAATTCCCCGCAAAAGGGGGGTGGGTGGGAAGTGCTAATTCTCAAGAAGGGAGCCCATGTGTCTTCTACAAAGCGTTATTCAGTTTCCCTTTGAAAAGAAACAGCCTGGGTCAGATGGTGAGCTGTGGCATCCTAGACTCTGAATGCTGGCTCCCACCACACCCAGATGAAGGGAGTCTGTCAGCACACAGTGTATCCCCACTCATTCTGGCTTGAAAAACTGTCACCTTGTGTTTGGAGGAATTTTCCACACTGTGACTCTAAACTCCAGTATTTCTCCAGAGAGGTCACACAAAACCAGTTTTTCCCCAGTAGTATTGCACTGGGTGATAGGCGAGTTAAGGCAATGTAATACTTGTAATACTTGGTGAGAGATGAGATGTGAGGAGCAGGAATGAGTGACTTCCTGGCCAGTGTGGGAGTGTCCCAGCCCCCAGTCTGAGAGAGATGCTTATAGGCATCACTCCACCCACCCACCCGAGGGGCACTTACACTTTCTCTCCTGTACACCATGCGGATGCAGCTGAGTGTATTCCCGAAGCCCACACCAGCCTGTAGACGAGTCTGTGGAGAGAGACGAGGGTGTGGGTCTGCTCAGAGATCAGTCACATCCTTAAGCCCCAAAAGATGCCCCAAAAGAGACAGAAAGGCCCTGCAAAAAGTGACACCAGGACAGAGGCCTCGGTTCATTCCTGGCCTGCCTGGTGCTTGGTGCTCTGCAGGCAGCCTCCTTTCATGTCACATTCAGCCTTGATCAACACAGACAAAGTCCACTTTGCCCAAAAGAAGAACCAAGGCCAGTTAGCTGAATAACATAATGGTTGCTGACCCTGTGGCCCCTGTCTCTTGCATACAGAAAGCCAAACTGTGGTTCTCACCTGCCTGCTACATTCTGTCACTCATACTCCTGAATGTCCTTGGGGAGACCTGCTGTTCTTACCTAGAACCAGCCCCTTGCTTCCTCCCTCCATCATTTCTCACCCAGACAATGGTCTGGGCTCTTCCAGGCCTCACCTCCATATCTTCTCTCTACACAAAAGTCAGACTGATCCTTTCCAAACATCAATGAAACCATGTCACTGTTTAAAGCCCTCGCCTCCCATCAAACTCTCCCAGGAGGTCCCCAGGGAGCACCTAGGCCTGCTTCTCACTCCCTGGGCCATTTCCCCGGCATGCCCTGCCTGCCATGCACACTTCCCGGTCCCTGGGGCATCCTTTTCACCTGCAGCTCTTTGCTCTGGCTGTTCCACCCCCGAAAGACTTCCTTGGCTCCTGCTCTTCTGTTGGGACTGAGCTTAGCACCACAGTGGCCCTAGTTGCTTGTTTATGCAGGGTTTACGTTGGATTACCTCACTAGGGAAGGGCCACCCATATTCCTTCCCTTTTGTCCTGATACAGTAACAACCATGCAATGGCTAAGTGAAGGGTTAGATGACAAAGGCATGGTACCCTTATGGAAGCTGGCTTTGGTGATGACTAGGGGCAGCAGATGACAGGCACAAAATTGCTCAGAGTACCCCCTACCCTAGTTTCAGAGAGTTCCGCTTCTTTTAACATGTGTGGCCTAGAGTTCTCCATAAAAATGCTTTCTTAGTATGGACAGAATGACATTCCTGGGCAGGAAGGAGCTGTGAGAGCCACACAGAAGGAGGAAACACTGGTCCTGATCCCACAGGACCCAGTATGCAATAAGGAGCTAAGACCCAGAGAAGCAGTTAACTTCCCACAAACTACCTGAGCTTAACTCTGAGAAAGGTGGAGAAGCCCCCAGAGGAGCACACACCACCAAAGTGGCTGTTTCCTAGGTGACGCTTTTCTGCATGGAACTTTTCTGCATTCCTAACTTTCCTATAATAAGCAGGGGTATCTTTTGTAACCTTTAGCTTATATAGTTTTAAATGGTAGAGCACTTTCTTAGCATGTGTGGGGCACTTGGTTCAATCCCCAGCACTGCATATGTAGTCATAGAAAATAGTATAATATTGGTCAATAGTCATAATAAAGAAATGTATTTATTCACTCATTCAACCAGTATTTGTTGACTACCTATATTATAAGTCTGTTCCAACCTCAGGAAATTCAGCAGTAAAAATGAAAATGTCAAGGACATCATGGAAGTTACAACCTAGTGGGGTTGGAAAATATAGAAAATAGAAAATAATTCCCAAGGATAAAGTTTCATTAAATGAAGGTGAGTGCTATGGATAAGACAACCTGGTGATGGCAAAAGAAATGCAATTTTTCATTGCTGTCTCCTGGTGAAGCAGAACCAAAGAAGTCCACCATAAGTAGGGTGTTCCTAACAACCAGGACAATGACAGGGTCCAGGAAGGTGGTGTAGGATCCTCTCTGTGCCCCATTCAGAGCCATCATGAAGCCCAGCACTGTTCTCTGCTATCCCCAGCTCTGCCAGGGGTGTCCTTCAGTAGTGAATCCACAGAATGATAGACTCACCTGGAGGGATCAAGTGGCTTTACCACTCAAACAAATGGTACTGGAGGGAACTCCAGCCAGGAGCAAAAATCCTGGATCCCAGAATAATTTCAAAGCCACAGAGCAAAGGTGTATCATACGTGTAGAGGACTTGGTAGGACCTTGGGGACAGTAGCAAAGTCCAAAGCTCCAGGACTCCAAATTAGAATAGAAGCTGGCATTTAGTGTGTACCAACTGCATACCAGGCATCTTGTAGAACATAACCTCACTGAATCCTATAAACACTGTGAGGCACAGACACTGCAGCTTACACATGAGGAAAGATGTCTGCCCGTATTATCTTCCTATTGTTGCTGGAGTGACTTAAAACAACTCGACTTCATTCTCACACAGATCCAGATGCCAGAAAATCATGGCCTGTGCCCCTGAGTAACCAGCAGCAAGCTTCTCTGCTGTGACTGAGAAGGGAGAGGAGCCTTTGACCAGGGTCAGCAGCCCAGGGCCTGGTAGATGGGCTCTTCTACAGGCGAGTCCTGGGACCTCACTCGTCTGCCTCCCTTTGCCCCTAAATGTCAGCCATTCATCAGGGCAGGGCCGTCTCACTCCTGGCTCTGTCTGCAGCACTTCCATGAGTAATTCTCACAACAGTCTCACCAGGGAGGTGCTCTTTTCCAATTTTACAGACAAGAAAATGGGGGCTCAGGAGGGCAAAGTGCCATGCCCTGGGTCACTTAAGGCAAGGCAGTGAGGACTAGATTGTTAGTTGGACTTGCCCAGGTCTCTCCCAGTGGGCAGGGACTCTAGAGAAAATGTCAGCCAGAAGGAAGGAAGGAAGGAGGAAGTTCCAGAGTGAACAAGGGCCCAACCGCATGCCTCTAAATCTGGACCCAAGGCAGGACATGTGAGCTCCATCACTAGGCTGGTGCCTCTGCAGAAGGTTCTCAGGCTGAACATGGACTAGATCTTCTGCCTCCGAAAGAAGAGCAGGGAAGAACGGTGGGAAAGGAGAGGGGCCCCAACCTTTCCAGGTGACGGTACAGGGGACAGGCTCACCTGTGCAGCAAGGCAGGGGCCTCACTCATGACCTAAAGCCAATGCCTCATGTCCTTAGGGAGGAGAGAGAGATCTGACACAGCGACACTGAGGGAAAGGCAGAGATAGGGGCTGGAGTAATGCCACTTGGATCCATGCAGCACTGAGGATTGCCAGCACAGCAGGAGCCAGGGGAGTGGCATGAGGCAGAATCCCCTCTGAGCCCACAAAGAGCTTCCTGAACTGTGAAAGAATATATTTCTATTGTTTTCACTACTAGGTTTGTGGTCATTTGTTACAGCAGTGGAGGAAATGAATACATGCTCCCAGTATCTTACAGTTAAATCTCTCACACACTCAACCAATTTTTACTGACTCGCTTTCATCAACCAACCTAGAGAAACAGTGGTCCTTTTCCTTGCTGTGACACACAGAGGTGCACACTTGACTAGCAGCAACACAATCAGTCAACTGAAGAAGCCAGTCAGGAGAATAACTGGCCATTTCAAGGTGTCCTCATAGGTCCCCAGAAGAGAAATTTATGTAGACCATTTAGGACAGAGACTTCAAAACACATTCTCCAAATGTGGTTGAAACCCAGATAGATACTTTCACAGAATGTAGTAACTGAGAAAAACTTAGTTTATATAGAATGATGTTAAAAATAGCAGCTCCCAATTCTGAATGCCTACTGGGTACCAGGAACCACCCTTATCTTAGATTTACTCTGTAAACCAGGAGTTGTGCCCAACTTAACAGAAAGCTATGTCAGCAGGAAATGGCAAGCAGTGCGTTCAGCCCCAGAGCCGGCATGGTTCCAAGGCCTCTGCGTTGTGGCTTGGCCTGCTGCCTTCTAGCTGATCACGCTTAGATTGATTTGCCAAATGAATTCCGTATAGAGCAGGCTAGGAGCAAGTTAGGTGAGTCTCAAAGCGTGGAGAAGTCAGGGACTGCCTGAACCCTGTGGGGGATGTCAGATACAACACCTGAGTCTCTTGAGTCTCCAGAAGGCCCAGCCCTGGAGAGGTATACAGCAGGCGCCTGTCCTGGGAGGAGATCTGGGATAGTCACTCATTCAGTAGGTGTTCTCACCCAGACCCGTGTTCTGCTCTGTGCTAAGTGGTGTTCTTTACAGGGCAGGGTTAGAAGGCACTGGCTGGGGAGGTCCAGCTCTGGGCAGGTAACAAGCCAGCTTTGTGGGGACCAGAAAGAGTTCAGTAGGCATCTGCAGCTACCATGGGGTAGGAGTGTTTGACAGCCTGGCTTGGCTCAAGAGCCTTGGGGAGTGGCTGAAATGAGCCCCATCTCTGAGTAGCAGTGATCTAGCCTTGAGAATCTGATCAGTCTGCTTCAGACATGAACTTGTTCCAAAATCCTCCTTGGTGGGCTCTGGAGGCCAAGGCCTGGCCCCCACCCTGCACTAATGTCACACCCCGTCCCCACCTTCCCACTCACATGACATGACATACACACTAGCCTTCTCTGCTTTCCTTGAGAACATATATGAGGCCTGTTCCTACCCTGAGGCCTTTGTTCCAGCTTGTGCCTCTGCCATAAGCACTGTGCACTCAACTTTGTCTGTATGGCTCTTTGTAAAATTTTTCTGCCTCCCTCATTGCAGAATCCTCAGAGCCCTGGGTGGTTAATGGCTGCTTCCTAAGTCCCCAGGCCAGCTCCACTGGTCCCTTTCTCTTCAGACATCCCTTATATAATAGCAAGGCTTCCTGCTAGCCCCATTACCCTCCCCCATACCTTGATTAGGCCCTCAAGCAGGTGTTTGGCATTGCGGTACTTCCTGCCAGCCAACTCTTCCCTCCAAGGGGGCTCCTGGTTCACCATTCATGAGGGTTGGCAGCTGAGGTTTGGGCCCTCCTTGGAGCAAGCATACCTGGTTGTTGTCTCTGTCAGCTGGTAAGCCCCAAGGCCTTGCCCCCTGGTCCCAGCAGTGAATGTGGGGACTGGACCAGTCCTCCTGGTCCTCCAAAGCCCTGCCACAGAATCCCCCGATAGGTCAAGCTTGTTTTCCACTTATTCACAGTCCTGTGCCAAGCTCCTTGTACCAGGGTATCTAGAGAAGGTAGAATTGGGGACTCTCCAAGTGAGTCTCATACACACTGAAATTGAAGGACCCTCATCACCTGCCAAGACCAGTTTTGACAGCAGATAATCTGGTCTGTGCAGCAAACACAGTAGGTGTTTAATAAATAATGAACTCTTGCATGTCTGAGGACAATGACTGATTTCAGCCTTTGCAAATTCAAGGCCCAGCCACTTCCTTTACAAATGCTGTGCATGTTTCCTGAAATCCCTACATGTGAAAATTATCACAAAGCAGTCACCTGGTGAGGGTGTGAGAGCCTGCCTTCCTCTGCCTGTGCCCTGAGAACTGGATCCCAGCAGCCCAGCTTCTACTGGCCCTTGTGCCCAGGAAAGGCAGGGGCATTAAGATGGCTCTTAGCTTCAGCAGCATCCTGCACCTTCTCCCCAAGAAGGCCTCTTGTGTCCCAACTCCTTGTTCTTCTGATTCCTCCTTCTCAACACCCATACAAGCAAGGGGACAGCACAGGCCTTGGTAGCCTCAACCCAAACAGCAGAGAATCTTAGCTGGCCAAGGACAAGGTGGCCTGGAGAAAGAAGGATTCTCTGAAAGGGAAGACACACCAGAGCCCAGTTCCATCTAGCTCCTGTGGGAGCTGTCCCTAGGGAGGCCCGCAGTGAGAAGGTGGCTCTAGACCACCTTCCTTTATTCAGGAACTTCTATTGGGCTCTGCTCCTGTCTGTTCCAGGAAAGGGCACTGACCAGTGAAGCAAGCTGGCCTGGGACCAAGTTCACTTTGCGGCTTTAAGCCCTAGCAATGACAACCCCACTCTGAGTCTGAGGCAGGTTCCTGCACTCCACACCTCTCCTTCTGTATACAATGGGAAGCTTATGTCATTTCTAGGTGGGGACACTGAGCCTGCTTTGCTCTCATCATGTGTGCCCACTGCCTGCCTCTGGGCTCTGCTTGCCATCCTGTTGGATTGAGACCTCCCCTGAGGACCCTAAACACCCCTCCTTTACTACTTAAAGGGTTTCTTCAAATATTTAAGACAAGTGTGCTGATTACCCCATCAAGAAGACAGCAGGCCTGACTCATCTAAGAGAGGCCCATTATCATACTGGGAGGAAGATGGCGAGAAAGAAGATTATAGCAGCCATCTGAGATGGTCCTTCCTCTGTGTGCAATCCAGGAAGAGTTCTAGAAAGGTCTGGAAGTCTGTGGTGAGGAGACACCCTTGACAGCCATGTCCCCAGGGCATGGCTGAGTTCTGCTCATCCCTGGAGATGCATAGTGGGGTAGGATAGGGTCAAATAACATGCGTATACAGCATCTCAGTCCTCAATTTTGAACTTATGTGACCTGAGACAAGCCTCCTCCCTTTTCAGGGGTACATCCCAAGGCCAGAGTGGTCCTGCCAGCTCCAGGGTCCTCACACCCATGGGTCTCATCAAGATACAATGGCTCCCACTCCCAAGCCAGGTCGGAAGAAGTTTGAACCTGACATTTAAGCCCTTGAGGATTGAGTGCTGACCTGCCTTGCCTGGATTCTGGTCTACAGATACAATCCGGCACCTGATGCATCCGCAAAAGTGGTCATGCTGGCTTTTCCCAAGCACAGGTCCCCCTTCCCCCTCCCACAAGTACCTTTTCTCATGTAACTCCCTGTGTCTGGTCTATTTGTTTAATCACTTGAAACCCAAACTTACATTCTGGGATCAGAGGTGACTTCCCACTTGGAGCCTTTCTCGATTGCTCCGTTCCACAGAGACTTAGAAGAGGGCACTCACCAGTGCCTTGTTCCCTCCCACCCCACCAGCTCATGAGAACATGCAGGCAGGAACAACACATTCACAGTTCACAGAAACAAAATCAATGCTAATAAGTAAGGGAGAGCCATTCCAAACCAGGCCTCCTGGCATGTCTCTCACCCCCGTGGGCTGGCAATAGAGAGCCTGACCTTGACTGGAGCCTCTCAGGGGATTCAGAAACAGGATGCACAGTCCCAGAGGCAGAACCACCCCAACACCCTTCCCAAGAGGTAATGGGAAACATGGGTACTGTACCTTGACTGTGTCCAGTGGGTAGCCAACAATGACACTGGCTGCACCTGTAGGTCAAAGAAGAACACCTGGTCACTCAGAGCCTGGACTCTTAGTTTCTACCAGTTGGGCCTTGGAATAGGACAGGGGCTAGGGCATTCACTCAGTTAGCAGTCAGTTGCTAAAGGCAACTGTGCTAGGCATTGGCCCAGCTACCAAGGAAGGCAGGAGAAAATGGAGTTAAACCTGGGTTGTGCCTTAAGAGAGGGGATGAGGGAGACAAGCGGAGGGGGGGACTTCAAGTATGATATATTTGATATATTGTAAGAACCTTTGTAAATACTACAATGTACCCACACTCAGCACAACAATAAAAACAAAAGTACCCTCAAAAGGGAGGTAAGGCGCTCAGACAATTGGATATTCACATGCAAAAGAATGGAGATAGTCCCCTGCTTCGTACTATATAAAAAATTAATTCAACTTGCAATCCCAGCAACTCAGGAGGTGGAGAGCTGGAGGGTCATGATTGAAGGCCAGCCTGGGAAAAAGTTAATGAGACCTCATCTCAACAAATGAGCTGGGTTTGGTGGTGTGCATCTATGGTCCCAACTGACAGGAGTTATGGGTAGAATTGTGGTCCAAAGCTGGTCTCAGGCAAAAACAAAATAACACAAGACTCTATCAAAAATAACTAAACCAAAAAAGAGCTGGAGTGTGGCTTGAGTGGTAGAGCACTTGCTTAGCAAGTGAGAGGCCCTGAGTTCAAAGCCCAGTACTGCCAAAAATAAAAATTAATTCAAAATAGATCAAAGACCTAAACAGAAGAGCTAAAACTACAAAACCCTCAGAATCAAATATAAGGAAAAAGTTTTATGGCCTGGGATTTGCAATGAGCTCTTAGATATGACACCAAAAGTATAAGCACCAGAAGACAAAATAGATAAATTGGATTTCATAAAAATTCAAAGCTTTCATACATCAAAGGACATTCTCTAGAAAGTGAAGAAAATCTACAGAATGAAAAAAATGTTTGCAAATTATATACTCAGTAAGGGTCTAGTAACTAGGATACAAAACTAAAAGAATGCTTAGGGGATGTGGCTCAAGTGGTAGAGTTCCTGCCTAGCAAACACGAGGCCCTGAGTTCAAACCCCAGTACCACCAAAAAAGAATGTTGAAGTAGGGAAAGGATTTAGGGAGACATTTCTCCAAAGAAGATATACAAATGCTCAACAAACACATGAATAGATGGTTAAAGTCATCAGTCATTAGGGAAATGTAAATCCAAATCACAATGAGACTCTTCATCACATCAGCTAGAATGGCTATAATTTAAGGAAATAAAGAAAATAACAAATGTCAGAAAAAATGGAGAGGAACTGGAACACTTATGTGTTGCTGGAGGGTATTTACAATGGAAAACAGCTTGGCTATGCCTCAAAAAACAAAGTTAGGCATAGAACTACATGATCTGGCAACTGCAGTCCTAGGTACACACCCAAGAATTGAAAACAAATACCAGGTATGTGACTCACATGTCCATGGTAGGATTAGGGAAGCAGCCCAAGTATTCATCAGCTGATGTACAATGAATAAAATGTGGTATATTCTTCCAATGGAATATTGCTTAGCTATGAATAGGAGTAAGTTACTGAACCATGCTACTACACAGAGGAACCCCAAAACACATCGAAGCTGAGTGATGGAGGCCAGACACAAAAAGGCAACAGATTGTGATTCTATGTCTATGACTTATCCAGAATAGGTAAATCCATCAAGACAGAAAACAGGCTAGTGGGTGCCAGGGCTGGGGGAGGGGGAATTGAGTGATGGTACAGTTGGTAGAAGATGTTCTTCGGTCATATTAAAAAATAAACTGAAGCAGAATAAAATTGTAATTTTGGTACACCTTCTTTGGTCTACCCTGTGGAGAGCACCTAGTTAGATGTTACTTCTGAGTAGTTGAACTTAAGTTGTTTTTCTTTGATATAAGCATTTATAAGAAATAACCAAGTTAAGTTTTTCTTATGTTTGCAAATTAAGCAAGGTTAAGGTCACTATGACACACCACTGGCTTTGTCTGCTCTTGGGATTCTTCAGGCCTGGTCCCCATTTTAAATTTACTTCATTGCTCACAAGGAAAAGATTTTGGAACAGACAAAGCAATGGTTTCACAGCACTGCAAAGGGACTAAATGTCCTGGATCATACACTTTGAAATGGCTAATTCTATATTGCGTGAATTTCAACTAAAAAGAGGAGGAGGATGAAGAGAAAAATCTAGCAAGTTTTCAGTTACCTGTAGGTTACTTAACTTCTTCATGCCTCACTTTTCACAAACATAGAATGGGAATATGGCTTAATGGTAGTACCTATCTTCTTTTCCATTGCAATGACACAATGCATGTAAAGTGCCTAGCAGAGAGCCTGACGTGCACAGGATGCTAAGAAAAGGACAGTCATTTTTGAATGGTTTTTGGATTTTGTTTTGTTAAGTTCCTTTTGAAAGGTGATAGATGCACTGGATATTTTCTCACACACACATGCACACAAAATGCCTGTCTACACACACACACACACACACACAAGGCTTGCACAATTGGGAGGGAAGCAAGGCTGTCTCGAAGCCACCTGGATGAAGGCAGCCTTGTGGAAGGAAGATGGTGACTGACAATCAAACCCCAGCTGTTCTTCCAAGACAAACTTTCCAACACACTGACGAAGAAGGCAGCATCTCTGCCAGCACAGGTGGTTTAACCAGCTAAGCTAGGTAAGGAGGTCTTGGAATACCATGTATTTGCAGACAGAGAAAGCAACTAGTATGGGAACAATTGTTGGAGTTGGTAAACTAATTACATAAATATATATAAGCAGATGCAAGAGGTCATATATTACTGATACAAAGTATCCAGGAATAGCAAATCTGTAGAAAGTAATCAGCAGTTGTCCAGGAAGACAAGGGCCACACTGTTTTTGGGCCTAAGAGATCTTACTGTAGGATGAAAATGCCCCACTACTAATTTATAGGGATGCTTGCACCACTTGATAAAGTTACTAAAAATCATGTAATTCTCATGGGAGAAGTACATAATATGCAAAATAAACCTCAACAAACTTGCTTTAAAACTATTCACTGAGCACTTAAGTTGCACCTGGCACCTACTAAGTACTCAGTGTTAGTACACTCACCATCATCACAATCATTTCACTGAAGCAAAACAAACACTTGTTAGTGTTAACAAAGTTCAATCTCAGACTAAGACAGCCCCCGACCACCCATGCTGTGTGTGTGTGTGGGGAAGCCCTCTGTCTAATCAGAGGTTGGAGCTAAGCTGACTCTGCACCCTCTGCTGTCAGTTTTCAGTCACCTGCAGCCTTCAGAACTTGGTCTGATATTTAAAGGGTGGCCAAAGAAGGGTCTTCCCTCTTTGCCTGTCTCCCAAAAATGGATGAAGACTTTTCCAGTCAAGGAGGGCTTGGATATGCCCAGTGGGCCTCCAGTTGCAGCCCCTGACTGGTCAAGTTAGAAGGCAGAGCTCAGCCCTACCAAAGGGTGCTGTGCCAACAGGCCTGCCCACCAGTGTGGAAGGAGACATCAAGAAGGTGTGCAGTAGAGGCCCTGCTGTCATCTGTGGGTGGAAGAGACTTGGCCACCTGCTAGATGGGAGGGGAGGACCTGCAGCCTTATCTATGTCTTGCTCTTTTTCTCTTAGTTTAGTTCTTTGTTAGGAAGGGACTGTATTTAACATCCCTTTTAGGATACTCCTCTTAGATGGGCCAAAAGAAAGATTTTTTTTTCACAATAAACAAAGTTCCTAAAATGCCACACACCCCCCCCCCACGAAATAGCTGAGAAAGGAGGGATATACCTATTTGATTGAAAGAAGAAAATGGATATAACTCTGGCCCAATCAACCCATCCTTTCCCTAGCAGAGAAACTCGGGGAGGGATGGTGAAGGCACCAACCTGGCCCAAAAGTGCCAGGAGGAGGAAACTTGGAGGAGGGCGGTGGTTGACAGTGATTGCAGCTGGAGAAGGGGTCCTCTCAGTTGTCACTGGGCACCTAAGGCCAAACGTGCACCCCCTGGGGCCGGCCTGCACTTGAAGCCCGGTCTCACCACCACCCCAAGCCTAGGATTCACCAACCACCAAACCCAAAAGTTCCCGCGAGCCATGTCCGCAAATTCAGGTGCGCAGTAGGTCCCAAAGGATGTGTGCCCTCGGGCGTGGCTTCATTGGCTGGCTGCCTGTGTAATCATTACCAAATCAAGTCCTAACGTCCAGGCAAATCAGAAGCTCGGGGTGAATGGCTATGAAACTCTAGGAGTTTGGCTTCGGGAAGGAACTGCAGGACCACCCAAGAGGACTAGTGCTGGGGGCTCCCTGCAGCCGGCGATGAGCACGCAGGGGGGCGCGTGTTGGAAGCGCACGGGGCTGACCCAGAACAACGCGCGCAAACGCTCTGCAGCGCGCGCCCTTAGTCTCTGTGGGTCTAAGTGTCCCAATGACACTCACCTCCGATCCAGCCCGCCACAAAGTCTTCCAGCTGGAAGCTGCTCATGGCCGGGGTCAAGCAGCGCCTCGCCTTCCCAGAGCCCGGGCAATGCCCACTTACTGTCTGCGGGGCATGGCCCGCGGGCCTAAGCACGCTGCAGAAAGTGGGCGCCTCGGAACACACGGCAGATCCTACTCCAAACCCAGTGGCCGAGTCACCCGCGGGCCGGCTCTCCAGCCTGGCAAGTGCCAGGCCTCTGACACCACGCCCCCAGTGGACCTTAAAGGCGCAGCACTCCGGCGCAGCGCATCCCAAACCCAAAGAGTGGAATTCCCTGGGCCCTCCCTTCTGGCCTTCGTCCTTGCCAGGTGCAGAACCTCAGCGTCTTTGAGGCGAAAGTGCCACTGGAGTCTACAATTGCTCACGTTATGTCTTCAGGGACACTTTTGAAAAAAAGAGAGAGAGAGAGAGAGAGAGCGCTTAAGCTCAAACACTATAAACCAGACGCTCTTAATTCTTGCATGAGTTGATTGAAATCAACGGACAGCTGTACCCAGGACATAGTTTGCCAAGGCAGTTTTAGAGTTAAAACTCCCTCCCACACCGCCCCGCCCACATTGCCCCTCCCACACTCTATGCCCTGTGGGGTTAAGAACCCTCTGTATTAGCGACTGAATGATGTATAGAAGCACCTGCCCCCAGAAGTCAGCTTCCAGCCAGCTCCAAGTACTTCCTAGGGCTTAATGAGGCCAGCATTTTCTTGCATTTAAATCAGCCTTGCTTCCTGTGCCTGCATTTACTCCTTGTTGTAAGTGTGAGGTAGGTTCTATTAGCCCCACTTCACACATAAGGGAAGTCATTATATATTTAGTGTATGTAACATCTGTGTATCACACACATAGATTTTAATCTTTTTTTCCCAAAAGAAGCCAAAACTAGAAGGTAAGTTGCCACGCTGCATTACAGACTTAGCTGTCTGAGAGCAGATTTATTCCCCAAACCTGGCTTTCCCAGGGAAGGACCAAGGGGAGACCCTGCCCAAATGAGTGGTCCTGCAGCCCCACCTGCTGAGGGTGTACAGATTCCTGCTGGGAGCAGTTCTGGCCAGGTGGGAATCTCTAGAGTCCCTTAGGAAAGGTGAGGTCAGGCTAGAAACTTCCGCCAGGAACTGTCTGGGACTGAGGTCTTGGTGGCCAGGCTGCACTTCACCAAAACAAAACCCATTGATAGCCCTATCCCACCCCCACCAGATTCACTGAGGCAGCCATCTGCAGGGAAATAGGCCCCAAATCCTGTTCTCTGGGTTGGTTGAAACACCGGCTGGACACACCCCTCATCTCCTAAGGATGTTTACAGGCAGAGTCTGTGCTGGTGACTTTGCCTCAGAGTGGGTGTTTGCACACACCATCCTCCTGCGAGCAGGTACTGATGATCAGCTGTATGCATCTACTGGGCAGGGTTATCATATCAGGGCGATTCAAACACTAATCTAGGTGTTGCCACAATGGTATTTTGTGTGATTAATATCTTCAATCAGCTGACTTTAAATCATCTGTGTGGCCTTCATTCAATCAGTTAAAAGGCCTTCAAAGCAAAAACTGAGATTTTCCTAAAGAAAAAAATTCTACCTGTAGCCTATGGCTTCTGCTCCTGCCTGAAAGTTTTCAGCTTACTGACCTGCCATGGAGATTTCAGATGTGCGCTGTCAGAGTCTACATTACACACTTTCTCTATTTCTCTGGTAGATCCTGACTGATACACCCTGCCACCCTGCGTACACTGTCAAATACAGCTGAGAGAATGGAGGCTCAGCCAGGGAGTATTATCCCACAGCTCCAAGATGGTGGGATAATTCCAGAGACCACCTACAGCTGGCTCTTGTTCTTTCTCACCTCTCCACTCAATGCCTCTCCTCCTGTCCCTTCTACCCTTCCCATCCAGCCACCCCTCCCAAGATGGCGCTTGGTACATGTTCATTTCTGTGTCTCTATACTGTGCCAACAGTGTGAGTCTTATCAACTGTGGCTCCCTCTTACAGACCTGTCCCACTCAGTGCCCTGTGCCAGAGCAGTGGTTCAAGGTCACATCTAACTTTCAGATACAGCTCTCTAGGGGTCCCAACTCCCTGCCAGGTTGTGGCACCCTGGGCTAGCCAGAAGGCAGAGTGGTGGTCCTCTCTCTCCCAGACCTCCTCTGTAGGCAGACCACACGTCCAACCAAGCCCCCAGCTGAGGTTCATGCTCCCTGGGGACCTAGGTTGGCCTTGTGAGGGGCTTTTGTTCCAATAGGAAAGTCTTGCCCTCCCCTGTCTCTAAGGAAGACATCCCATGCCCTACAGAATCCTACAAGTTTCCAGTAGGGAAACTTGAGTCCCAGGCAAGATTCCCCTGGGCTGACAAGAATGGTGAAGAGTATAGTCTGGAGGAAGGGCCTCTGCTGGGACTGCTCTTGTCCCACTGGCACATCCATGTCACCCCATCCAGGTCAACATGTAGCAGCAGCTGGCCAGGCCTCCTTCTTCTAATGTAAGACAGTCTAACCACTGAAGCTTGATCCTAAGTGGGCTTGCTGAGGACTGGAAGGGGATGGCCCTTCTAAAGCCCCATCCCTCCATCTCTAGGTGCATAGAAAATGTTACTGTGTTACTGTGTGGGAGCCAGAGCCAGCTGAGGGAAGAGCCCGGATGGACCACAGGCCTGGCTGGTGAAATCTTGCAGAGTTACATGGAGGGGTAGAAAGTCACCAATGAGCTCAGTCCTGTGTGCATGATGCCCTACTCAGTCTTGAGGCTTCAGTCACCACCAGCACTGGCCTCTGAGCCATGCCCTGCCATGCCTGGGATCTGTGGCTGGGACAGTTATGGGAAATGAAAGGTCTCTGAAGAGTGTCCCTTTGGTGAGTTCGCCATTGGACTGAATCCACAAATGTGAAGCCAGCCAGTTCCCAAGGCCACTAGTTTGCAGGACCACCTAAGTGTTGCCAGGCAGATTGCCATCCCTTAGCCCCATGTCAGCACCCATTAGGGAGGTCCTGAGTTGGCAGGCAGTGTCCCTGGCTGTCTGGGAAGGCCTCCCTGGCCCAGGGAGCTATTACCTGACTGCTAATGAGCTGAGGCAGAGCAGAAGGAGCAGACTCCTTTTCAGAACAAACCACTGTGCTCTGTTCCCAGTGTGTGTTGTAAATCTGCCTATGGGTGGGTGGGGGGTGCTAAGTTTAGTGGCAGCCCATGGGTCTGGCCCTGAGAGTCCCAGACTGCTGGACTATGGGACCCAGCAGAGTGTTGGCTCTGGGGAAGAGATCTGGGCCATTACTTCTCCATGACCTCCCCACTTTGGAGCAGTGTTGGAAGAGCTGCTGTCATTCACATCTACATTCTACCTCTGGAGAGATCATGGCAGCTACTGACCACCATAAGGCACGGAGAGATCTACTTCCTAGGTTGCTGGGGCCATTCTTCCCTGTGGGAAACCCCAGAGAGCATTGTTCAATGCAATGAGGGCATGTAAATGGAAAGGAAGCCTTGGTGTCATTTGTTTACTAGAGGCCCACTTCCTGTTTCTCATTGATAAGAGAAGCTTCCAGAGCACCAAGTACATACTAATCCCAGCTGGGGGAAAGTCTTTGGTAGCGAGGTGACAGTCTGTCTGGGATGCCACATGGAGGTGGCTGTGAGAGAAGGGGAGAGGGAGTTCATTGTACTTCCTGAAGCCAAGGGTGGCTCCCCAGACCTGCAGTCTCCTGGTTGTACCTTGAGTCCATCCAGGCCCAAGACTCCCACCTCTCCAACCACTCTCTAGCCAAGCACACAGTCCTTACCTTGCTCACCAGCTGCATCTCAGCAGTGAAGTCCTGGGCCAGCTCCTTGTGTCTGATTTGCTGTGGTGAAAGACCTGCCCTGGTCTCCTACTACCCCCCTCTTGTCTTCTGGGACCCTGCTTTGGTCTGGCTTTCCTCTCCCTTCTCTCATCTCCTGCCCATCCTTAGATATAGGGATCCCCAAGGCCCTCATATGGACTCTTACCCATCTACACCCACCATCTCTCAGCTCACTGACCCCTCAACTCACCTCCAACCCAGACCTCACTTTTCAGCCCACAACCTTCACTCTACTCAACATTTCCACCTGGGTGGCCCTTGTCTCTAACTAAGCATGTCTCTTGAGAACTCTCTAACTCCCCAAAGTGCTCCTCCTTCAGGGCCCCCTCAATTAAGAGAAATATACACCATCCAGCTGGCCATGCAAACCCAATTTAAGTACATCCTTCATCACTCTCCCAAGACCTCATCCCACCGAGTCCTGAGGCTCTATCTTGTTAATGACCCAACATCCAACCTCTTTTGGCAGTCCAGCCCAGGCCTGCATCATCTGCCTGAACCACTGTGGACAGAAGACCCTGGCTCCCTCTGCCTCAATCCTGTGTCCACCCACCAGCTGCTGTCATACTGAAGTTTGAAGACTTGAGTCTGCTCTGGCCCCCTCTGTGCGGTGACGTGCGATGACTCTCTGTGACTTTGAGCATAAATTCTAGTTTCCCAGTTGAGCATGTGAGTCTGTGGTACCTAGGTCTGGCTGCCTTTTCACACCTCACCTCCCACCACCTCAGCCCTCCCCTTAAGCCAATGCCCCAGCCAGTCAGTGGGGCCTCCACACCCCAAATTCTTCCCCCGTGTGGGTGCCTGTGCTGCTCCTGTGGGGACACCCTCCCCCACCAACTTCTCTTCTGACTAGCCCATGAACCTTACTCCTTTGAGACACCACCCAACTGTCACCTTCCCCTGATCATCCTTTATTGAAGTATTCACCTCCCCACTCCACACCAGACCTGCTGGCTCTCAACTTTCCAGTATATGCTCAGCATACCATGTAACTACTGCACACTGTGGCTTATGGTTTGTCTGCCCCTCAGACTGTGATCCCATGAGAACAGGGCATTGCCTTATTCTCCCCTGAGCCTGCAGAGCTTGTCACAGACCTGGACTCAGTCAGCACTTAATCAGCAGGACCTTAAATAAGGTGGCCATGGGATATGGGTCTGACAATTGTTGGTAGTCAAAGAAGGAGTCCA